CGGACGGCTGACTAAATTAGGCATAACTGTATGTCGGCTAACATCGCAAAGTGTCGGTTAGTCAGTCAGAATAGACAATGAAAAACCATAGCACCAAATCCCGGGGAAATTCATCACTTATCTTACCGTACCAAGTCCTGGGACCTATGCTCATTTGGCTGCAATGTTCTTTCGTGTACCACCTGATTGTTTCCTGTCCTTAAACGTTGACGAAGGAGGTGCTGTCGTCTCTCTTGTCCACCTCATCGCACGCCACCTGTCACATGTAATATTCATCATCGCTGACCGGTATTCTTCCAAATTTGTCAGGCAATGTTTGCGACCCGCATCGGTCAGAGAGTACCGTGTCGCCAACTTTATTGAAAGTGGTCACCTCCCCCCACACACTCATTCCGAACAGAATCGCTCCACGCTTGCATGCACTTGTGTACATGAACACACAACGATGAGTCACCTTCTCACCCGTCGCTTCTGACTGATCCAATTGCTCGACAGTGCACAGTGACATCACCTCGACCTTGCTGTTTTGTTTAGTTCCGGGTTTAGCCATCAGGACACCAGAATGCGGGTAGTACATGCCTTGTTATTTTGCGAAATCACATCAGTATTCCAGATGGTGATCATCGTTCGATTGGCTTTTCTATCCTAGATACTTACAGTTAGGCTTCGATGCCAACTGTTCCGGTTCTTGTGGCAGTCATTCATGCTTGGCTCCATTTACCACTGGTCCTTGGTGTGATGGGTAGTCCTCCGAAAAATTTACCATCCTGCTTGAATGGTGGCGCACAGAACATTTCCGAGGAACGCTATGGGTAAGTTTCTTTGTATTTCTGGTCATCTAATGTGCGAAAAAAGCCAAACAGATCCAGTTATGCATTAGATGGATATTCGATTCCCTTGTGACGAATGCGACCAGTTATCTTCCATGGAAAAGTAATTCACGTTCTCTGATAGCCCTAGGAACATGAGCTCCTCCTTATGTTGAACATTTATCCATAACACATAAGAGGTATGCATGAGCATTCAGTAAGCTCTGATATTTCATGTTCACACTCCACGTCAATTTCGTTTTAATGGCCCTCCTCCTGTCCTGGAGCAGTTGTTCTGGCGAGCACACAAAAGGGGAAATCATTAGGCTCGAGGTGTGCTCGTACTAGAGCATCCAGGAGTTTGTACTCCAGGCCTGCGGGGGAAGCATTTCTACTATTACACAAGCGCACACTGGACACACCTGGATTATTCCGACTTAACAGGTGTAAATGGCGTAATTTCTCGTAACCCTCTTGACAAGGGTTAGTAACTGTCTACCAACCTACTCCTAGATAAGCAAAATTTTGAATCTCCAAGATCGTTACAGACTTTGGTTCGCATCTTCCGCATCAATAAGTCTCCAGAATAATAAAAGTCGGAAATCGGACACCTTTGAAGTGACGCTTTAGACCAAATGCTGCAAAATGACGCCCCTACTCCACCACCAAAACTGACTGTCACAGAACTGCTTTCGGCATTTTTTCCTCCCTTCACATGTATATGCAACTAAAGGATACAGATGTTATGGACCCCGTGCCTTCCATTCGATTCAATGAAGAATGCAGAACCTAGGCTGGGTACACAGCCAAACGTTGGTTGTCACGCCAAAATAGCTATGTTTTCAGTCAGCCACTCAGCCTAAGTTCACAATTCTACTGCTCAACTTCGGACCTATGTTGAACTGGTCTCGTTATCAAATCGATCATTCATAAAATCACAGGGGGATCTGTTCTAACTCAGTGGAGAATGAAATTCGACCTTAGGA